TAAAATTATTAAGTAATAAAATTAAATATATAATAATCCTTAATAATAAAATTATTAAGTAATAAAATTAAATATATAATACTCCTTATAATATTTAATGACAAAATAAATTTTTCACGTAAGCTCTCTCTTTTAAACTATATTTGCAAGAATATAAAGTTGCATGAAAATCAGCACTCTATAATATTTATTAATTGGAAAGACATTTGTGCTAAATTACGAATTACATTGTAATCGAGTTATGTAATTTGCATGACATTTTCGTAACATCAATATTATATTCGAAAAACGATATTTCATATGCACCAATGCTGTAGAATGTTTCAATGCACGGACCATTATTTGCGCATAATGAAAACTGGAAATATCACGGCGAAGGAGGACGCAATCACTGTGACCGCAGTAAAGTATTGTCTATCAAATCCGTGTATTTTGTTCAACGCGTATCTCTCTTGCAATCTCACAGGTGTTTATCATTCGATCTTTATCAGTGGCTAATAGAACAATGATAGCATTTATCCAGTATAGTTACTTGTCAGTTCGTTCAGCAACAGATATAAATCCAGTAGATTGATTGTCACTTGAAGAAAGTCAACTATGCAAAACGATCGTTCTTTCGTCGTAATAGTGTAATAGTAATTTGAAAAAAGAAGTCATCATTCGTACTGTGATTTATAATATTGTATTGTAAAACTAATCATAAACGAAGAGGAGCAGGAATAAAAAGATAATGCCGTGCATCGGATGTAATTAAGTGTCCAAGAAAGTAAATGCAAGAAGTCACTAAAACACTTTATTCTTTTTATGTTCCTCGTTTTCTGTATCATTGAAGTTGAACATGTTGATAAGCAAGTTTGTATGAAAATGAAAATAATATCTTTTGAGAAAGTAAAATATAACTTAATTATTTAATAATTATAATATAATATATCTTAATTATTTAATAATTATAATATAATATAATTATAATATAATATTAATTATATTATAATATAGCAATACACGATACACAATAATATAAAATATAAATATATATAATCATATAAATGTGGTTGATTATATATAATTTATTTTATACAATATATATATATATATATATATATATATATATATATATATATTCTATAAAAATATATTAAAATCATAAAATTTAAAAGTTGTGATACATCGTTACAAAGGAAGGCAGTGACATTGGCGCGATACTTATCGTCCAGGCTTTCCTAGATTTGGTAACTAATTATCGATCAAGTTTCGTTCATAGAGGCTTCTATCATCATTTTCAGTTCATCTTCGTTACCGGTTCTTTTCAGTACGTTGTGTGATACAAGTACTAAAATTTATCAATATAATACTTGCTATAATAATTCAGGATTAGTACGTTAATTATGAAAAGATTGAAGACTGAAAAAAGCGAAGAAAAAGATGGTCAATTCAGAGAAAGATTGTTTAATCTTTGTAGGGATTATTTACGTATGAATAAATGATTTCGCATATCACCAGATAATATTCGTACAAAGATTGAACTACGAACTTTGTTTACCAAGAAAGACGGAATTCTGATTCCTGTGTTGATACAAGTTATTTCGATAAGTATCAGTTATGAGTATTATAATGTACGAAATTGCACATAAGTAAATTTGTATGAATTATTATAAAAATGAAGAAAAATAATTTCTACCATTATTAATCATCTGATTGACTTCAGAAATTTATAGTCGTCAATTATTAAAGTTCTACGTTTTTTACGACAATTTAATTTAACTTAAATAATTTTATATACCACCTATTGTATATACAAATTTACAAAGGAATATAATTCTTATACCGCGAGGTAAAATATTAAAATATTTTTATAAGATACAGAATGCATATATAATGTATGTATGTATGTATATGTACAAGAAATTTGTTCTTTTTCAGTCATAACATATTCGTCGCAAATATATAAATTATGAAGTATTTCAAAACTGAAAATATTGAAGAAACGATTCCAAAACTCACTAATACATCCCAGCTAGTCCTTCAATCATCTTTAATTAGATCATGAAAAGAATAAATCTTTGTGAAATGAATATTTAACGTTCTTTTTTTTTTATTTTTGTAAATTGACATAGCCGTTGATTATAGTATCATTAATAAGATTTTATAATGTCACAAAAAAGTCACACGGAGGGGACAAAAGAAAACTGACGAGAACCATTCGTTTCCATTATCGTGAATGTACAAAATAACAATTTATATTTCTTTTCTATGACGTTCCATAAGACTCAGAATTTTATTGTATACCCAAATATCTGCGTGCTTTCCCCACACGAAATCAAGATGCGCGAAATCGTTGGATGGTACCAGAAATTTCTGAGCATTGGGTAATGCCTCGTGCAGCTGATACAAATTCTGGAAGGATATTAACAAGAGAGTAAAGATTCTGAACAACCAGAGAGTTCTCAAGAAATACGTGTACAAACGTATACAAACCTGAACATCGACAAATTTATCATTGGCACCGTAATACAAATACACTGGCAATTTGACGTTGCTGAGATTATAATCTGGAGGGTGTATCTTACCATATTTCTTCATGTTACCAAAAAGACCATAGTCAAATTTCCGGAACTTGCCTGTGAAAGAAAAGAATGTACTGTGAAAAGAAAATTGTAAAATTACTATATTAACCTGTATGTTTGATCATT